TTGCTGACTCTCGACGGCCGTTGTCCTGGCCGCGTATCTACTAGGCTGCGTCCGCTGTCTTCACCACTACAGTAGCCGAGACGCTCCCTCCCTGCCCCTACCACAGCATAATCACAGAATTCTGCTGATCGGTCCGGGACCCACCTACCCCAAACCCAACGTTAGGCGCCACCACTTATGGATGCACCTTAGTCGTTGACTGCTCCTTCTCTTGCTCTTCTCTGCGCATCTGCGCCCTGCAACACTTTGACCCCTACGCGGATTTTCGTTACGAGTCGATCCGCCACACTCGTCGTGCCGCACCAATCACATAGCCACCCCACGACCCAGGCATTTCCTATTTGATCCCTGTACACTAGTTCCGCCATACTCGAGCCCGCTCGATCACGCTCGATTCCCACCCCGTTGCCACTAGTGCTCTAATAATCTACGACACACCAAGTCCTCTCTGGCCCGCGCTGTTCGAGAGTTGGTCGCTACACCACACCGCCCAGTCCACGCGCTCACGCCCTCCTACATGAGCGACTTGAGAGAACGTCTCGCGCGATTGGGACTGTCCCAGTACCACGAAGTGTTCACAGCCGAAGGCTTCGACACTTGGGAGACTGTGCTCGACATTACAGAATCAGACTTGTGCGCAATGGCTCCACCCCTACCTACCCACGCCGCCCCTGCTTACTGTTCCGTAGAAGTTCCCTCAACGTCAAGCTTGGCCATCGTCGGGTACGTCACTATCCTGCGACGTTACCACCAGCAACAACTGACCTCCTCGTAGAAACTTCAACGGGCCATCGCCGAATCGCGCGGACAGTCTTCGGATAGGCCTCTGCCCATCAATCTTGCACGAGCTGGGAGCACTGCCGGCTCGTATCGCAGTGACGACTCGGGGCCAGAGAGCAAAAGCAAGCAGCCAGAGCCCACCAATACTGCACCGAATGGAACAGGGGCCAAACGGAAGTACCGTCGACATCCCAAGGTAGCCCACTCTGCAGATCCCGTCTGTCGTGCAACATCGCTAACCCAACGTAGCCTGATGAACATGCACCAGAACGTCCACCCTCTGCTTACGTCATATTCTCCAATCGTAAGTCTGGTCTCTGGCCCAACGCGATCACGACTAATTCGCAGCAGAGGTACGAGAATCACTCAAGGGACAAGATCTTACCTTCACCGAGATTGCCAAGGTAGTCGGTGAGAAATGGCAAGTCTTGCCTGCCGAGGAACGCGAAGGTTGTGAACGACAGGCCAACGGTGCCAAAGAGAAGTACTATGCAGAGCTGGCTGAGTACAAAAAGACGCCCCATTTCGAGGCGTACCAGAAGTATCTCGAAGATTTCAAGTCGAAGCACTCAGTGCCCACTAAAGGTCTGTCCACAGCTTCTGTTGTCATGTGCCGCAATGTATTGACATGTGCAGAAGGCAAACGCTCAAAGCTCGAAACCGAAACCAGCACTTCAACACGAGGAGGTAGCAATGAACAGGCCGACCCACCGGCAAACAGGAGATTGAGTTCTATTCAGTCCGATGCCCAAGCAGCATTACAACAAAAAACGGATCCCACTCAACCAATCCCCCCTTCACGGCTACCACCTGGCCCAATCTACGCTTCGAACTCGACATCGCCGGCCAATATTCCCCTTTCTGGCTTCAACTCCCCCCGTTCGGGCGAACAATTCTCCCCCACATCTGCATCTCCACGGACCACGGTCTTGCAAAGAGATGGCGGTGTCTATGACCCATCCGTACCCAATTCCATTCGAGACACGAGGATCCCCTTCGATGCCAATCCGTACCATCAGCCTTCTGCGTACAACCTGGACCTCCACCAAAAGATTGCATCGACTCCACCACCTCCATATCCCCACCCAAATCACTTTCAGGGGCCAAACGACATGCTTTCTCGTCGGACTCCGCGCGACTCCTCGCGTCTCCCCCCGCTCAGTCACGAGGATACGACATTGTCGTCCGAGAGTGGTCACAGCAATCAAGGATCTCAAGGGTACACCTTGTCGGCTTATCCTGGGCAGACATTACCTGCAGACCCGAGTAAGACGATGCGCATGCTTCCCCAGCCAGTGCCCAGTATAGCACCCCTAGCCTCGCCACTGGATCGGCCGATACCGCCCATGCCATCACACCTCTCGCATAATCCCCATGACTATCGCAATCAGGGGTCACTTGCGGTCCTCGTAAGAGCAGGAGAACTGGCATCAAGAGCAGCGGACGACGACATGGTCGAGACCGAAAGCTCACCTTGATTCTTTTTTTGAACGCTATACCAATGTTACAGTACATGATTCGGCATGAGCAGTCCGCATGGCCCGTTCCAGTGGGTAGTGCATACCGCATGCGACCACAAGCTGTTTCGCTGCGAGACGTCAGCAACGACATGACTGCTACGCGTGTACCGCGCATCAGCCAAGCGAGCATGCGCGGGGACGCTTTACGTTTTCATATGTTATTTGCTATTTCGAGATGATACCCCAACGCAACCAGTCCACTTATTGGCCTATCGAATACCAAGCGATTATACGGAGGATGGATCCCTACCTCAAGGATTGAAGTGTTGGAGATGAACTACCGGTCCTTCTAAGTCCGCAACGCATGCGCCGTTCGGATTACGCTACGTGCATACAGAAAGCCTGTTCTGGTATGCTAGAGTTCAGGAAGGCTCAGCCTCCACGGTTAATGCCGTAAGGAACACGAATCTCTGCATGTGCAGCGTGTGTGCAAGGGCAACGAAGGCGTGTAGGATGTACATAGGAAATCTAGATCTATTCGCTTGAATGACACTGCCTAATCCATCTCGAACACCTGGGCATGTGCAGCTGGTCTGAACGGCAGTCTGGATTATTCCATCAACTGCATGATGTGGTGTGATTGGCAGTCAGTCCTGTCTGGGATCAAGAAGCGCACAGTCGTGCAAGGCGGTAACAATGTTCGCATACGGCGGATTCAATAGCGCCCAATGGAAAGCATGCACCCGACAGCAGCTAACTCGCCACTGCAGCCTGCAACCAGAGCTAGGAGTACAGTACATGTGCGCAAGTGGATCTTTTTCGGTCAATTGTCCCGAGCGACATCGAGATCATGCGCTTGGCATGGCGTGTTGAGTGGATTTTGGGGGTTTTACCCATGTCTGCCAACATCGAGGATTTGGCATGCTAATCTGACACCACATGGCCAGGGTCTGAGCAAACCCACCGAAATCACGTGGCAGATGCTACGATGTCCCGCGACAATGTAAATCGTCGGTATTTTATGCCGTCGCGCTTGCAGATCGACGGCAAGCCAAAGCGATGGAGTAAGCCCACCCACCCACATCACAAGCCTCCTGACATGGCAGGCAGCAGGACCCCAAATCTGCAATAAAACCAAGTCCTACAAACGCATTTGTCGATGTCCGTCCGCAAGGCGCTCGCTCGGATACAGGGTCGATCACCAGGACCCTAGTCTGTCCATCTGCCGCGTACAGCGCTCTGCATGGCCCCCGCGGCATTAGCCCTTCCTCGGAGTAAGACAAAGCATCTTGCGATATTTCACAATGAGAAAACAGCTGATTATGTGTTGCGTGATTCTCGCATCCGCATGCATCCTGACATGGTAAAATTAGCATGTCGGCACGTCGTTTCGAAAGGGCAAAGATAAACCGCAAGGGTGTACTAGACATCTGTGCATTATGCAGGTGCTGTGGAGTAAACAAGTTGCAGCTCGTCTGACCAGTCAAAGTTAGTCGAGCCAGATATTTGGAACGAGGGATCATGCCATTGCCGCGAAAGAGGGTCCTGCAGACACAGACGTTGGCTGTGGGCTCCGTGGAGTAGTTGTTCTGATCATTATGACGTCCGCGGAGCGTGAACTAGGACAGGTCGGCCGCCGAGTCTGTCTGGATCGGCATGCTGGACTGGAAATCGGCCCGCGTCTACACACTCTTTTCATTTTGCTCTCATGTTGATTACATGGTTACATCAACTGGCGTGCGGATACTTTTTTGCTTCACATTTTGATTGTGTATGCTTGGGCGGCTGTCCCGAACTCTTGCATCGCTACAGGCTTACAGGTTTTGGATCTAATCCCACCCAAAGGCATCAAAGGTATGATGGGGAAGACTCGCTTCGGTACCTGGGTTCACACACCACTCTAATGTGTCGGGTTCGCAGGAGTTGACCTTCTCGGCGCTGTACCCGACGTACCTAGACCCTCTACAAGCGCTTGTAATACTCGACGAGTACAAAAAAGACTTTCAGAGCACCTGGTAGCAGTATTCTCGTGCCACTAGCGTAGACAGAAAGAAGGACCCGTCGTACTTCTTGATTTGCTGAGCACTGGACCCGTAACTTGCGTGTCAGTGGCATGTATTTCGTAAAACGCGAGGCCCAATCATCATCCTCGTTTCGAGTTACGTGCAACACAGATTTCGCATTTCTTTCCGCTAATATGTAGTTCATGGCAAACGCTTCTAGTGTTGCTGCTTCAGCTAGCCCATCGTGGTGTCACATAGGCAGGAACGAGCCAATCAGGGCCATACCGACCCTTGTCGATCTCCCGTTCCAGTGCAACGACTCCATCTCTATCATCACGTCCACCATCAGACCTCTGCTTGGCATTCATCGACTTGCCTCTATACTGCACTAAAACCTCTGTGCACACACTTCTAGGCAGTTCTAGACCGTCGCTGTACATCCCGAGGTCTGAATTTGGCGTGTCAGACCAGTCACACGGATCACATCCGCCACCAATCTTCCTTGCAAGAAGCCTGTGGCTTCCCGAAATCTGTACGTAAAAAGGCGCCGTGACTGGGGTGTAACAATGCTAACTACTGTGTTGGTAGCCGGGTCACCTACTCGCTGTCCTACACTGGTTCTTGCATTGCAGCGGTCTAGACCTTCGACGCACCTGCTCTGTCAGCCACCAAGCAGCTATAGCGATCCCGCTTCGATTACCTGTTGTAGCTCATTACATATTTCCAAGCCTTCCGCTCCGCTACTTGAATCGCCACCATGACTGAGCCCGTCGAAGTCAGAGATTCCGCTCAGTCCAAGCCAATGCAATCCCAGAACGATCTTGGCCAGGAAGTTGGTACACATCCGACGCCTGGTAACACTACTATCTCTCCTACATCAGGACCAGCTCGCAAATATCTGACCTTGAAACCCTTGAAGAAACTCGATCTACCTCATCATCCGTCGTATGATAATGCTAGTTCTGATCATCATGTCACTCTAGCCCAGTTCCTCGACGATATTCTCAACGAGGTACAAGGAATCAACTTTGACGAAAGGTTTGAGAAGCGTGGAACCTGGAGCCCCGACAATGGACATGTGATGATGCCGCCACTGAATGCTACAGGGAGCAGCGATATGGTTCCAGTCCCAGTCTCGGTCGAGAAGCGTATCAAAGACTTGAACCAAGCCAGTTGGATGGCTAGAACCTCTACCCACAGCAACGATCATGTCAAATTCTCCGAGTTGGGCGATCTTTTGGCGAAAGATCACAGCCGCAATGAAGCTGCATATACCCCGAGTGTTTTCGATGCTGTTGAGCTATTGAGGTGGGATCCTGAAGAAGCGTTGAGAGCCGTGCATCAACACAAGGAGATTCACAGCGTGGAAATGTTCAGTGAGCGCCCTCTTGTGCAAGTTACATGACAGTGTGCACCGTTGCTGACACATTTTAGTATCCCAAATGTTCCATATGATGCCCAAGGTAGCCGGGCTGAGTCTACTACAAGATCGTGTGTTTCATGCATTAATAGTTACGATGAACACTCACGAAGCAGAGAGTCCCTCTAACCTCGCTTCGTCTTTTACTGTTCAGCTTCCAATTGATTATGCATCATTCGGCGATGTCAAGATCATGCAAGAGAGGAGTCGGATGGAAACGAAAGGATCTTCGCAACTCTACCGGTTTCCTTCGGACACAGGGTCAGGCGCAACACCTGACGCGAACCAGAAGCAGCGACAGGGGAAGAAGCTGACAGAAGGAACCTACGTCTCGTTGGAGAGGCTGATTGGCGCATCGAAGACACGTGTCGATGGGGATGTTGCGCAGCAAGCAGAGTCGCCCGATAACGACCATCATCGTTGGGATATGGTAAGTTTCATATTCCGCATTCAAGTTTAATGTTGTTGACATGGCGCAGATGACGTTGAGTACGGCGGGGGGCATGACGAAAAAGGCACCGAAGGGCATCCAGCAGAAGGAAACATTGGAGGCGATCGCAATGGACGTGGAGTACGTTCTGTCGTATATCGCGGATCAAAGACGGAAGAGCAGGACTTGACTGGTGATGACGACTGTGAAGGAACCATGTCACATGAGGCAAGGCGAAGCCCGGGCGGGGACGAACCGCGGCGTGCAGATCATCGCGTGGCTGTGACACCATTCCACTTTCTGCACACTTGGACTTCAGCTTTCAGCCTTACGCTGGGGAGACGAGGCCCAGCTTGATGTATCTCAGTATCATCTTTCTGTACTTAATACCTTCATCAATGTCATACGATACACCGTAATTGCCTCCGTGATCGCATTCCAGCGCGTGCCGTCCATGTGCATGTCACACTCGTGGAGAGCCTATTAATACACACAGGCACTTCAGCTGGCATATCGAGCCCACACTCCCGACGAACACGATCCGCTATCTCACGCGACACATATATTCGTCGGTAACGCGACAAGACAACGCGCGCGATGCAGAACTACGGGCAAGCACCAGGATACCAGCGGCCAGGCAGCACGACGGGCTTCACAGGCCAGCAGGGCGCCCCTCCACCAGTCCCGCCACCGCCGCCTGGATATGGAGGTATGTCGATCCATAATAGTACACAATTCTAGAGCGAGGCACTGACACGATGGTACAGCTTCCCAGGGATACCAAACGTCCGCTCCCCCAGCTCACGGTCAATGGGCTGCGCCCACGCCGACACACACGTCGAATCCATGGAACCAATCGCAACAGCAGGTAGCCGCAGGATATAATCCAGGCACTTATGGCACCATGCCGGGGGTGCAGCATCAATTATATCCTCCTCAGCAACAAGAGCAACCACCCCCGCCTCCACCCAAACCCTACGGCTTCGCAGCGGCGGTCCAACGGCACGAACAACAGCAGCAGCAGCAGCAGCAGCAGCAGAACTGGTCACAGCAATCGCAACCAGGCAACGGCTTTGCGCCTCATACGCAGCAGGGAGGATATCCGGTGCAAGCAACACCTCAACAGCCATATCACCACGCAGCTCCTCCCCCGCCTTCAACCACTCCGGGCGGGACATATTTCCAGTCTTCGCAGGGAGGGAGACCCAGCTCCATTTATGGGACAGGCCATAATAGCTCATACCCATCAGTAGGGGCACAGCAACCCACTGCAATTAACATCCAGAGCGCGCAGCAGCCGGCATACACACAACAAGCTGCACAACCGTACACGTCTTCAAATTCGAATCCAGCACCCGGTGCATACGTTTCTCCCCCACCAGAAGCTCCTTCGTGGCAGCAGGCACAGCATGCGCCGCCTCAAGGCGGCATCAACAATTTCACCCATACTACACCACATGCAGACACACCTACCTATGCACAGGAGCATCAGAGTCTACAGCAGCAGCCACCGCCTTTGCCTCCACGGCATGGTCAACAGGCTGTTCCTCCCCAGAACTATCACCAACCTCATTATGGTCATTCGACGCCCGTCCAATACAATCCGCAATCGCAGATACCCAATCAGTACCAGCAGTCGTCGGGTCAATTCCCATCACCGCTGCAGCATCATTATCAGCAACCATCGGTTGGACAGCCCTCATATCCCCAAGCTCCGTCGCAACAACCACCGGCACCGACGGTCTATGGACAATCTGTGTACGACCAACAAGGACAGCCTTCTCCACAACAATCTCGCCCTCAGGACTCATGGCAGTCTGCATCTCCAGTTCCCGAGCCTAGCTATGAATATAATAGACCGCAGGCATACGAGTCTCAGCTACCACCCTCGCAAACGGGGTACCAAACGCAAGAACCAGCTCCACCGCAGCAGTATTCCCAGATCTCGAACCAGGAGGGCCAAGAAACAAAGCCATACAATCGAATCGATACTGCTGGATCGAACTTCTACCATCAACCAAGCCCGCAGAGTCAGCCTGTGTCTCCGATATCGAATCGGCCTAGTGTGAGCTCTGTCTCTGGCTACCATCCTATCTCTGGGCGCACCGACTCGGTGAGTTCGATAGCTTTGGCCAATCTCTACGCACAACGCGCAGACAATAAGACATCTTCACCAAAACCGTCCGAGCCGAGACTACCCGCGTCACCTCCACCCAGAGATGACAAGTCCAAGTTTAGTGTTCTGGCTGCCGGTGCACCTTCTGATTGGGAACACCTAGGTGGCAGTGAGGAGATTGACGATGAAGAGCTCTTTGGTGCAAAGAAAGAAGATGTGAAAAGCGACAGTACTCAACCGGAAAGCATTGAGCTGCCCGCTCACGTTCCGCCTCCCCCATCGACGCATGGGTTCCCCAGTCCTGCTGTGCGTCCTGCACACGTGAGTTCGAGCGAATGGGATGAAGGCTTTACACCTACACCGCCGTCTGTGACAACAGGACTTGCTGGACGTCAAGATTCCCAGTCATCAGATCAAGGGTTCATCGTCGGAGATGCAATTGTCGCGCCCTTACGTACTACTCCCAAACCCATACAGGGCACGAGACCCCCTCATCAGCCTGCCGCGTTGATGACTGGGTCGGGCTCCGCAGAGGGTGGATGGGATACGTCGCAACACACACCTACCCAACCGAAGCATCTTTTTGGGTCACAAACCAGTAATGAATCCACCGGCGTGGTGTCCTCCAGCTACGACTATGCTATACAACTGAAAGAGAAGGACGACCTTATCAACCAATTACGCGCAGATATGGAACGGGAGAAGAAGGAGAAGGATGAAGTTCTCCAACAGTTACACACAGATACAGAACGGGAAAAGGCCGTACTACAAGCAAAGATCGATGAACTTGAAGCTAGTAGCCAGAAAGTCGTGTCTAAGTACGAAGCTAAGAAGGCTCACAGCACGAGCGAGATGGACGTGTTACGTGCACAGATAGAGACTATGAGAATCACCACAGACCAAGCCAGTGTCAACTATGACGCTATGGTGAAGGAGAAGAACACGGCGATTGACATTTTGAAAGAAGATGTGGAAGGGAAGGAGCACAATATTGAAGAGCGTGATAGTTCTGTCGCTGAACTAAAGCGCCAACTTGAAGCCGAAAAGGCGAAAGAGCCGCCGAAACCCACAGCTGCTGATCTGGTACTGGACCTTGATCCGTGGTATATTGGCTCGTTAGAGCGATACATAGCCATGCTTCGAAGTGAGGCCGCGGAACCGCAAGTCGAGGAGAAGGTCAAGATTTTCAAGGCGTTCATGAAAGTCGAGTCTGCCATGCGGGCCATCGTCTCCCTTGATACCTCAACACAAACAGTTCCAGTGGACCCAGAGGTATCACACGAACAGGAGCAAGCTGCTCGCTCTCGTGCAACCTCGAACATATCCACCAAGAGACAAGATCTGAACATCCAGGTACCGCAGGAGTCGGAATTTGACGACTTCGAATATAGTCCTGGCGGTCGACCTATCTTGGCGCGGCAGACTACGATTCCGCCTACTGAAAACTACCAGGGTGTTCCAAGAGCGCCTCCTTCGGTGCAATCAACAACAATTCTAACTCCGACAAGCTCCATTGATGATGATACGAACAAGACGCCAGTGCAATCTCCACCTGAAGAGCAGGTGCAACACCAATACAAGGCATATGTCCCACCTGCTAGCATATCGGTTGACCCTGCTCCATTGAGACACAGACCAACAATGTCCTTCTCCAATACGCCAGGAGTAACCTCACCGTCAGGCCGTAGCAACAGTAAGGGGCACGATGAGATATTCTTTGGAGCTCATCAACCGACTGCTCAGACGCCTGCCTCTCGGCCCGCCAGTAGCGAAGCAGACGTCCCTTTGCCAGCACCATTGAAATTGACGCCGCGCCGTCCGATCTCAACTGCACCAACGAAGGAAGATCTGAATAGAGTGCTCAAGGAACTAGTATCCAAAAAGTTGCATTCTGGCCTTTCAAATCACCGGATTCAGGATATAAGGGCTAGGCTCGTTGACATAGGGTCCAAAGCCAATGACGCCGAAGAAATTACGAAGACGTGGGAGAAATCTGCATCTCTGAGTCGCCGCAAGAAGGACGACGCCCGTCGCAAGCGTCAAGAAGAGAACGAGGAGCACAACGATGATCTATTCAACAACAACGAGATCTCATATGCGGAGATGAATCAGCTCGAGGAAGAGTTCAAGCAGAAAGAGGGAGAGCTCAAAGCGCAAGAGGACAAAGACGAGTATCGTGACTATGTGGAGACCGTATTCGACCCCATCTTCACCGGGCTACATGGCGAGATTAAAGCGTTGATGGACTTGCACGTCGAAACTAAGCGCATACTACCGTCTTCCGTAACAGGACTAAAGAGTGTGGAGGGAACCGATACTCCAAGCACAAAAGACTGTTTCGAGATCCTGAAAGATATCCACGAGCAAGTGGAAAAGAGACACGACGATGTCATACAACTCGTTGCCGAACGCGACAGACGCTACAAGAAAACGGAGACACAACCTCTGTACGCCGCTGGTAACATCAGCCAGATGAAAACCGTGGAGAAACACTACGACAACGCTGAGAAACAAGCTGTGTTCAAAGCCAAGCGCGAGAAGGCTGAGCGTGTAGGCGAACTTGTCCGCCTTGTGGAGGATACGATTGTCAATGCAGTCAGCACTGAGCAAAAAGAAATCGACCACATCGTTGCAGCTATCAAGGACCTTGAGGATGGCAGCGGTGATCCAGCGGTCCTCGATGATGCACGAACCGCTCTTAAGGCTCTGAGGGAATCGTCCAAGGCGCTTCTCTCCCTCTTCAATGCACTGGAGATTGAATCCAACAACGCCGATATCGACGCGGAGATTGCGCAAGTGACAGCCGATGGTGCAGATCCAGCGCGCATACTCGAACTGGAGGCTGAGAAGAGAGAAGCAGAGAAAGATTTGGTGGATGAATTCCAGAGGAGGGTTAGTGTGCTGGAAAGTGATGAGGCTGAAATCGGAGAGTTGGTGCAGAGGAAGATGGGAAAGAGTAGCGAGGACGCAGAGAAGGAAAATCGATTACGAATGGCGTTGGAGGAAGCGAAGAGACGGAATGGTCATGCTTGATGATGGGATGATCTTATGTAGTTACGAAATGTGGCATTTTC